TCCCTGAAGAGCTGGTCACTGGTCCACACTGACCCTGCTGAATTACTTAGCAGGTGAGTGACCCCCCCCCCCCGTTCCCACTCTTCAGCTGACACTCAACCCCCTGCAGGTCCTTCCCCCCCCCACCCACCTTCCCTCTCCTTCCCCTCGTCCTCCATGCCGGGTCTTTCCTTCTCCTTTCTCTTTGCCTCTTCCTTTTCATTCCCCTCGTTTCCCTCCCCACTTCTTTCCCTTCGCCCCCTTCCCTCACCTTCCCCCTGTCCCCCCCCCCTGGTCCTTCCCCTCATCCCCTCCTGGTTTTTCCCCTTCTTCCCCTCCCTACTTCCCACAAATACAGGTCTCCCTTTCTCTCCCCTCGGTCTCCTAAATGCGACACGCCGTTTCAGAGAGCCAAACAATAAACAAACAGAGACGGACAACCGCACGAGTTTACACTGAACGTTATATACCCCCCTCCCCCCTCCCGCCCCTCCCCGATCCCCTAGAGCCGCCATCTCCCCGGCTCGTCCAAGCATCGCCTACAGATCTCTCGGCTCCTAATCCGATTGGGGTCCAAGCCCGCGTGACCGGTTCTGCTTTGCCTTGCCTTGCCTTGCCCCCCCCTCCCCACCCCCCCTCCTTGCCTTACCCCACCCTCCCCATCTCTTCCCTTGCCTTGGCTTACCCCATCATCCCCATCTCTCCTCTTGCTTTGCCTTGCCTTGCCCCGCCCTCCCCTTCCCCCATCTTGTCCTGACTTACCCCATCCTCCCCATCTCTTCTCTTGCCTTGTCTTACCCCGCCCTCCCCTTCCCCCATCTTGTCCTGACTTACCCCATCCTTCCTATCCTCCACCTTCGCTTGACTTACCTAACCCCACTTCGCCTTGCCTTGCTTTGCCTTAATTAAGCCACCATCCTCCCCATCCTCCGTTTTCCATTACCTTGCTTTACTTTATCTTAATTTACCTCTTCCTTCCCTTTGGCCCTGCCTTGTCTTCCCTACCCTACCCTTACCTTACTCTACCCTTACCCTTACCCTACCCATCCCTGCCTTTACCTTGCTTACCTTCCCTCGCTTCCAGCCCGCCCGTAAGCACCATTCCGCCGCCCGCACCGGCAATGGGCGTATCAAAGGGGCGGCACAGGAAGACGAGGACACACAAACGGCCGAGAGGAACGAGGCGGAGCGAATGCTACAATAACACCAACAAACTAGCGTGGCGGCAACCATTAACCGGCGTGTACGTACATGCGTGTGTGTACGTTTGTGTGTGTGTACGTGCGTGTGTGTACGTGTGTGTGTGTGTGTGTGTGTGTGTGTGTGTGTGTGTGTATACGTGTGTGTGTGTACGTGTGTATGTTTTTGATGCGTCTTTAAATAGGAGGGGCAGGGGAGGGGGGGAGATGGAAAGGAGGTTGGGGGGGTAGGGTAGCTGAACGGGGTCTAGTGAGAAAGGACAAGACATAGATACACAGAGAGATAAATAGACAAGAGGTAGAGACTGGCAGATACACAGATAGACAGAGAGAGAGAGAGAGAGATAGACAGAGAGAGAGAGAGAGAGAGAGAGAGAGAGAGAGAGAGAGAGAGAGAGAGAGAGAGAGAGAGAGAGTAACCGCGTGCACGACATCCACCATTTCCTCTCCCGAAGCGCCTGCCTCACCCGGAAATGCCTCGGATGCGACCGTGGTATATAAACCTCCTTCCATCTGTAATTCCGAACCGAGGCAGGTAGAGCAGGAGACGGACGGACAGACAGAGGGAGAGAGGGAGGGAAAGGGAGAGGAAGAGAGGGAGAGGGAGGGTAAGGGAGAGGAAGAGAG